AAAAAAAAAAAAAAAAAAAACTAAATTAAGGATGGACTCAAGTGGAAAAATTCTGGCCCGTGGTGGAACCGGACCCATCTGTGTGCTTTGACCTTCCATTCATCAGTTCGGCTGGTGGATCCCCAGATCTGGATTCTTTCGTCCGATCACTCGATTGCTCTCTGATCAATTAACCATGACTCAGTATTAACAAATCACCACAATAATTACCGCTAGCACTTTGTTTTCTTTTTTTTTTTCTTTTTTTTTTTTTAATCTTCCCACGGCGGAGGATTCCACACTAGATGTGCTGACAGGTGGCCTACTGCACGCAGCAGGGGCCGTTATCTTTGAACCGCAGACGCATTTTGGGTCTGTATTTCTCGAGGTAAAGAAGCTGTTTGGAGTTGAAGGCTCCACGTCTTTTCCTGTAGTAAGCAGAGAACAAAGAAGCCAGGAAGTTAGGAACACTTTAGACGCAAGAGCAAAGTCATTAAACGCATGGCTTCACCCACACTTTGCAACCCTTGTTGCTCAAATATTTGGTTTCAGCTAAAAAGCAGAGCTAAAAACAAAAGAACAAAATAAACGACAAACAAAAAAACTACAAAAAGGCAGACAAAACTGCAGGTTAGCATTTTTAGCCCACAAAGAAACATATCCCGTCTGTTTTTTGTACAGAAGACATGCTAAACATGCTGCTGAATGAGACTATCCACCCAACTTCCTGTCTCATCCCATCGACATTTTCCAGAGATGGATATTCTCATGACTCCGTCCGAGACTCATTTAAAATCTTAGAAATAAAGAATGCACTTACTGCCTTATGAACTGCACGGCATCTTCATACTTCATCCCACCCTCAATGAGGGCTAAGGCCACCAGGACTGGAGCTCTGAGAGGTGAAGAGATCCAGCCGACCGGTGTATGGAGACGAGTGGGAGAAGGAAGAGAGGGAGGAGAGGAGAATAAATGCCAAGGTTCACATTGCTCCATAGCATTACAGCGGTGAGAAGGGGAGGGAGCTTCAATCTGGGAAAGGAGCCTGGGAAATCGGCGGGGGTGCGCGGGTTCACTGCTGCCCTGCTGGGGCGCGGCGCTCACACTCAGAGCGTCACACACACTCTCACACACACACACACACACACACACACACACACACACACACACACAC